ACTGGAGGCCACCACCAGCAGCTGCACTAGAAACAAAAACCCTCCAGTATATAAAGTCAATTATACAAATAACAGTGGAAATAAAGACACTAAAACTAAAACACACACAGCAACAAAGTGTGTGAGGCGGCCGTCTGCAGTCTCCACACCTGCTGCACAGGAGCTCATCACTTTGTGGCTCTCACCTGAGAAAGGACTTACTTCAGGTGCAGAAGCTCAGAAATAACACACACACACACACACACACACACACACATAACAGCAAGTGGCATTTCCTGTGGCTGCTTCATAATAAAAGCTAAATGGTGTTTTGGAAATGGAATACTTTTAATGTGAAGGAACAGCAACAGGAAATGTTTGGTTTGCATTAACAGTGAACGCTCCAGCATTAACAATGAATAAAACATTAATAATAGTTGTTGTAATAAAGGCATAATGCCTAAAAATATATATATATAAACGTTTTCTTGCTCAGGTGCCTTGAACTCATCATTGTTACCTGTGGCACAGGAAGATGACGTCTCGTTCTTAGAAGTTTCTGATTGGCTCTGTAGATTTTCCAATCAAAGAAACAGCTGGTGTGGAACATTTTATCCCCTCACAGACTGTCACTGTGAGAAAACACCCTCTGCTGACACAATAAAGACTTAAATACAACAAACACATCGTAGCCAACTGGCATTTTCCATGGCTGAGAAATAACACCAAAGAGGAAAAACTGCAGTTCCTTGAACGACCACCAGAGGCTGGCTCCAACAGTGAGTCAGTCTCCATAAGGCCCCATATTAAAATGAAATACACGTTTACAGCCTGGTTCAAACTGGTCTCTACAGGTACATTCTCTGTTTCTGACAACTGTATGAGGAGCAGTGGCGGCTGGCCAATAGAGGGCGCCGCCCCCCTTGAGAATAAAAAATAAATAAAAAATAAAAATAATAATGATAATGATAAAAATATCAGTATGTCAATATTTGTGTGTTTGAAATATGGAATGCAGCCAGTAATATGTGTAAAATATCCTCTGCCTGTCTGAAGCCTCATCAGCTCTGGCCGATAGAGAAAGCGGGTCTATGTAGCTGTTAAACCAATTGCTAATTTAAGATATGAATGTATGACATTAAATTCAGCCAATCAGCGTCCTTAAATCGAAACCAAGAAGGGAGATTATTTTATCGCCCCAAGTTCGCCTCTGATAAAATAAGGACCGGGCTCTAGGGGCGCGAACGTTACTCCTCCAAGACCCAACCCTAACTCGGTGAAATCTCTCCTCCAAGATCCGTCTGAGAGGAGAACTTTGTTGGAGAAAGTTGGGGTGAAAGAGCTGGGCCCAGATCAACCTGAGCTCTCAATCAGACAGCAGGCTAGAGAGAAAGGGAAGCAGTATATGGCGGCGGCTTCTCCCGTAGCCGGTACACCGGGAAGGCTTGGATGGCTGGGTGCACTCATGCTTTTTAAAAGGACGGGGACAGATCCAGCATGGACAGTTACCGGAGTGAGGGATAGGAAGCACCTGTCAGAGAAGGTAAAGAAACACAAGAACACCAGGGCACACATGGATAACTCTGTAAAGCTAGCTATATTAGGAAGGGTGAACATCAGTACGCAGCTGGATGACGACCACAGGATTGATGAGGAAACATCATGAGGAGGTGGATAAACACAGACACAGTTTATCCAGAATTATAGATTGTGGGACTTTTGAGTTGGCCTTGCGTGGGCATGACGAGACTGACTCGGACTCCTCGGACAACCCCGCAGTTTCCCGGGCTTGGTGGATTTAGTTGCCTCCATTGACAGTGTGCTGGAGGAGCACCTGAACACAGCTCCCAGCTGAGGGCAGTCAAAGACATACAGAACCAGCTGTTGGACTGGAAACAGTCAGTTCAGTTCAGTTTACAATGCAAATGAAAGGTTTGTGCAATATGATGTTTATGTTTTTGTGTAAGAATGGTAATGCGCAAACTTCCCTGCTCTGCTGTGTACGGGAAGAGCCGATCGCAACCGGAAGGACCCGAGTTGTCCCGAAGGAACGTCAGAACCGTCCCGACCTGTCGAGTGCTGCACACCTCCTTCTCTGTTACGACAGCGTTGAGCAGAGCCAAAGAACTTGTGTCCGCTGTGCGTGAGTGCAGAGTAAGTTTATATTCACTGTTTATTGTTAGTTTATTGTTTATTGTTAGTTTATTGTTTATTGTTATTTTATTGTTTATTGTTAGTTTATTGTTTATTGTTAGTTTATTGTTATTTTATTGTTTATTTTATTGTTTATTGTTTATTGTTAGTTTATTGTTTATTGTTATTTTATTGTTAATTTATTGTTAGTTTATTGTTTATTGTTAGTTTATTGTTTATTGTTAGTTTATTGTTTATTGTTATTTTATTGTTTATTGTTAGTTTATTGTTTATTGTTATTTTATTGTTTATTGTTAGTTTATTGTTTGTTTATTGTTAGTTTATTGTTTATTGTTAGTTTATTGTTAGCCGCTATGTTGTAAAAGTACTGACGCACACATTGTTTTTGTACATTAGATATATTACCAGAGTCCGGTTAATATGTTTGAATATATATATATATATATATAGACATATAATATTGTTTGATTGTGTGTTTAATATTACGTACGGGCTCTGCACCTGACGATATTGACGTTTATTACAGTTGCTGTGTATGACAGTGTGATGATGCGGTCTGAGTGTCATTCCGACCTCAGGTTATTTTACTGCGTTGTACTGTGTATCTGTTTAGTTCACAGTCATATTGCTTTATTTCGTTAACATAATAATATATTTGCTGTTTATTTATTTGTATAATTCAGGAAACAACAACAAGACACATCCTGTACGTTGTTCATGTGAGGAATTCATAAAGAAGGAAAACGTAATTCTCTGGAGTAGCTGCAGTTTTTCTTACCGGAAACTAAGGTCAGACTGTGTACGCCAGCATCCAAAATATAATCTACAGGTAAGATATCGACCGAAACAACACAGGATCCAAACTGCGCCTGTCGATACCTGCAATCGGTTCTTTTTGTACCCAGATCAAGAGAACAATGACTGTTTCTATGGTTTCGCTTTGGATGGCGGTAAAGCTTGCAGCTCAGTCTGTGCTGGAGTTGGCTGGTCAGCATCCGAGATCAACCGTGACCTATCAACACATGGCTCATTTAAATATTCAAATGAGCCATGTGCGCTCACTCGCAGTTGCTAGGTTACCACCAGGCTGTCAATCAAACTCTCAGCTACAGAGAACATAAAGTGAGTTAATGTCGGTTGTTGGACTGAAATTCTGAAAATGCTCACACTCAGATGTAGATAGGTAAAGTCTATACATCTGAAACAGAAGGTGCTGTATTTGTTTACCCTTTATTTATCCAGATAAAACATTAAGAACAGTTTCTGTATGATGTTTATTAGACCTATGTAATCTGAATTGGAAGGGCACGTTGTCATGAGCTGTATCTTGTATATTTATTATTAGCTATGTGGTATGTGTATGCACCTTTATGTAATCTGGTGGAAAAACATTACAATTTAAAACCGGATCATACCAAACAAATATCTGCTTGCTGTCCCTGTGTATGCAAAGTGTCCTCCTTTTTGATGGGAAGGAAATGGCCACCCTAACACAGAGCAACCGGCGATAACTTCAGGTAATATATATATATATATATATATATACACACATGTTTGTACAGTTATTAAATAAATACTTGAGCACTTTCAAAATGTATTCGTGTAAAAATCTTTTGAATGGAGAGGAGTGGTGACTTTACAAAGTTGAAAAAAAGTATGGAATGAAGTACTCAATTGGTATCGGTATCGTGTTAAGGGTACTGGTATCGGTACTGGTATCGGTACTGGTATCGAACATTTTTAAATGATACCCAGCCCTACTGACTATTTCACTGAGCACTGGTGTTCTGCAGTTTGTGTTAAATTGTAATGCGATGGTTACAGAAACAAAAAAGTGTGGCACAGCCCCACCGACAATATTTTTCACCAGCCGCCACTGACGAGGAGTGAATGTTGATACAGCTCACTCCTTTAAATTATATAAAGACTTAAAGTTACACATAATTAAAGGCCGTTACAGGTGGCGTTCAGTGACCAGGCTACATTCAGCGGAGTCAGGGCTGCCAAGATGGTGACGGTTAGAGCCGACCACTGAGCTTCACAACGGCTCTTCAGAAACCTCTGGGTGACGTCACAGAGACTACAGCCATTTTTATTGATCCAGTGTCTGATCATAGCATCACTGCACAAATGATACATTATTAATATATTATTATATAAAGACAAAATCACAAAGCTGAAGAAACATTTACTGTTTGCTGTTGTTCACAAACACACTGTCCTGATTAATAAACTGCTGTGTCGTGGATTCATGACTCAGGGAAGTTGGCAGGTTGGTGGCTGGAGAAGCTTACTGGAAGGTCACAGGTTCAATTCCACCAAGCTGTGTCCGTCTGCTGCAGCTGTGCTCTTTAATGTTCATGAACTACACAAACTTTAGTCAGCTTCATTGCTAATGTCTTTGTATCTGTGCAACACGCAGCACCCTCTATCCTTAGAAAGAATCACTGTCACTGATTTAAAGTTGAATTTAAAATGAGGGAGAAAGCTTAGAAAGAGCGACAGAGGGATCTCTCTTCCAGGATGGATGGAACTGCTGCTGTATGTACAGAGCACACACAATGACAAAGCTGAAGTACATTCAGTTAGCAGCACTTTCTCTACACGTTTGGAAGGGGAGTGTGAGGCGCTTTGGTTGCAGTCTGCAATCTCACCACTAGATGTCACTAAATCCTACACACTGGATCTTTAAAGAGGAAGTTCCTGTCAAAATAAAGGTCCTTTTGTGTGCAATGTGCTGCCTCTCTCTCCCTCATTGTGGTGCTGTCTGATAGTTGCTGTCCCTATATGCAGCAGCCCTCTCTGATTAGATTCTACCTAAAACAGTCTGAACACACAGAAACATCAAAAACAGTCCCAACACACAGTTTGACATTTTTCAGCTTTTATTCAAACGTTTGTATAGAAATGATGAAGCACTGCCTGAGATTACATGATAGCTTCCAAATGCATCATCAGCAAACAACAGAAACATACATGAACTTTGAGACAATTCAAACATCAGTCAGCAACACTTTATTATGCAGGACTGTTGTATTAGCCTGCATTAGCTTTAGCTAGGTGGACCTAATAAACTGGACACTGAGTGTGGAGTTCAGTGTGGAACTGTACCTGACACACTCTGACTCACCTTAACAAATAAACAAACAATACAGGGTTGTCCCAAATAATGTCAATAACACAAATATGTCAATAAAACACAAAGTCACATTATATTTCACTTTAGCTGCAAAACATTCCCATTCATTTCCAGTAAGAGCAGCTTTAGTTCAGTGAAGGCTTTTAATGGCCATGTGTAGCTCAGTTAGGACCTTTAACAACTACAAGCAGTCTGATAATATTGGTAAATAGACAGTGTTTATACTGCACTTCTGCCCCTCATTCATCCATTCACACTCACTCACTCACTGATGGCAGAGAGCTACCATGCAAGGTGCTGCTCTGACCATCAGGAGGCGTTTTTGGTCTGAGCCCCTTAGCTTTAAACACTGATATCAAATTCTCTTTTATCAGAAGTTGACTTTAATCAGGTCCCTTTTTAACTTGGTCCATTTGAATTCTGCTGTGTGTTACTTTATTTGATGTCATTACTTGTTCTATTATCCTGCTTTGCTGTCTCATTATTTATCACATTAGTTTGTTTCTGTGTAGCTCCGTCTTATTCATCGAGGTGCTACAGTATAATGTCCTCAACAAGAGTCCAGTGGGCAGTTTGATTAGGACTTTACATTATGCTGCCTGGAATGAAATTCATCTAAAAAAGAAAAGAATAAAAGCAACAGAACAGAGTGCAAGAAGTCGTCTTTGTCCTCAACCACATTAATAACAGAGTAAAAGTGTGTTTAGTCAATATTTGTTCTCTTAAAGCTGCACAAGAGTGGAACTCAATCACAGCAAATATCAGAGTTCAACACAAACTATTCATTCAATTCTCATTAACAGAATGAACCTGAAACTAATTTAACTTTAACCTTAAAACCAGGTCTTAACCATTAAAGTGAGGAGCAGCCAAAATGTCCTCACTATCATACAGTATGGTCTAAAACTCAAAGTGATTCTCACAAAGTTTAACTGCTACAGCACACACACACTGGAGCAGACAACTGCACAGCACATGGAGAGATAGTTACGATTCTGGATCAGATTCCCTGAATGGTGTCGATGAATTGGAGACATTCAGAGGGTGTCTCTGTTCTCCTTGTCTGCAAGAAGCAAAATAAAGTTATATTAAAGAAAATCCAAACTGACTTGATGCTAATCTGAGTGTAAATACCAACAGAATGATTAATGTCTGAAAACATAAAACAACTGTCAAGACTCTAAATATGAGATACATGTAAAGAATGTGTTGTGTTGTCTGTTCATCGTGACTATGTAGATAAAAAGACATTATTTAAACTTACCTCTCTTACAACTCAGTTTGAACTAGAACAACACCAACAACCAAAAGAATGATGGGAACGGACACACCAACAACCAATCCAGTGGAGTCTGAAACAGATGACAGAGAGTGAATGTGACACTCAGAATGTAATTGTATATCACACACAGAAGATTGGACATCAGCCACACAAACAACAACAACTAAAGGTGTGTGTGCTCCTGAAATGTCCACAGCTGAGAGCTTGGTTGTGGTTCTGCTCACAGTAGTGAGGAGGGTGATGTTGTAGCATCGTCCTGTTTCTGAGACGTGCTGCTCATCAGTAGAAGACTGTTTGAATCACTGTCCTGCCTCCTCTACTTCACACTGTTTCCATGGGACTTGTGTTAAACTGCTGCTGTGCCTGAGATCTGCAAATGTGTGTGACAATGTGTGTACAGCCCAGTTCTCTACACCCTGAGCCCAGGCTGTGATGGATTTTATAAAGCAATGCTACTAATGACAAGTTTCCATTGTGCAGTAAGAAGTGACACTCAAAGCCTGTATGAGCCTCCATGGTATCACAGTATTAGCAGGAACTATCATTGTATAGATTTAGAGTTAAAGTCTGGTCCTAGTTTTTACTTTCAGTTCAGTTTCTAGTTGAGAAATAAAATGATAAAATCTTCTCTCCATCTTTGAATGTCTTTATGTTGTTTGTTCTGTGGTTCATGTGGAACTTTGCTGCTGTAAAACTGCACTTTCCCATTGAGATGAATAAAGTACTCTCTCTCTATTGATCTAATTACAGCTAATAAAACCTTCACAGAGCCTCGCTGTATTTTGGTGGCACATGTGAAACAATAATTCTTCACTTTCAGAACATTATTTTTCTTTTGACTTGTGGAACAGAAATGTCTCTGATTCTAATGACTTCAGTCTCTAAATCGCCCTCGTCAGCTGTTTTCATGCTGATCATCAGGATCAGGTTGCAGCAGCCATTTATATATCTATTACTGGGGTTGTGTGTGTGTGTGTGTGTGTGTGTGTGACTCTTTAGACTGAGCTCAACATTTACTACAGACTTCAGTTCTTCCTGTTATTTCCCTCCAGACACTTTCGTTCTTCCTCTTATCTCTGGACATTAATGAAGTCTCAGAATAAGAGTGAATTTAACACTCAAATTGAAACATTTTCAACTAATACAGATTCCTTCAATACTATTTCCTTGGGTCTGAACAAACAATAATAATAATAATAATAATAATGAATAATATAAAAATACAACTGGGAAGAATCTCACCACTGAAATGCACATATGTCTCTGTATAAATCTGATGGATGTTGTCCTGTGTGACTACACAGCGGAAGTGGTCGGTCTTGGTCAAAGGAGCTTGTAGGATGACGTCGTAGCTTCCTCCTCTTTCTGTGACCTGTGGTTCTTTAGCAGGAAGAATGTTTCCAGCACTGTCCTTCCACTCTACTTTAGGTTGTGGAGAAGCACCTCGAACAACACACTGCAGTAGCATCCCATCATCTGTTTTAAGTGTCACAACAGACGGCTCTGGAGCTGCACCTGTGAATATAATAGAAACTAAAGCTTATAAAGAAAGTTTATATAATTAGATGAACAGTACTAGGATCTTTTCTCAGAGAGAAAACGAAAAGCACAATATAAGCACTTCCAGTATTGGAAAAAATGGAATATGAGATTAATTAATTTCATTCATTTATATACTGCTTAGAAGCTCGGCTGCATTGTGTTGTCTCAGTACTTGTACTCTGTGCAATGACAATGTGATGTGAAAGTTGAATCTAATCTACTTAATAGATTGTACAGGTGGAGCTAATAAATGGGCCACTGAGTGTATTTGATCAACAGTCTCATGCTGCCAGAACAGAAAACTCATCATTCAATTGGTTTCAATTGTTCTTTTGTAGCCAACAGCAGCTGATGAAAGATTTCACTGGAGTACGTTCACACTGCAACACTTAGAGCTCAATTCGGATTTATTGCTCACATCGGATTCTTTTTGTTTGGCTGCTCACGTTATTGTTTGAATATCAGATTCCAGTGTGAACAGGTCCCGGTCCTGAAGTGAGCAGCATGATGAATGTGGATCTAGAGTGACGTAAAAGTCACATGACTTCTGATACGACTGTTCACACTGAGGTCACACTGCAAAACATCAGAGCTGAATCTGATCTGGACCACACACACACACACACACACACACACACACACACACACACACACACACACACACACACACACACACACACACACACAATTACAACAATTGTATCAAGTAGATTCCAACAACCTGAAACTTTCCTACGATGTTGCAACAAAGTATGAACAGACTGAAATGTGCCAACAGAGAGCCGTCACTCAAAGGGAGAACACATTTCCACCCTTTTTGGTATCATATGAAAGTAGGTGTTAATATTTACACAGTGCTGAGCGCGGGTGCACAGTACCCTATCCTATGTAGCACTCCACTAGTGGGAGGATGCATCGGGTTGTGCCAGTGGTAAATCCAATAGAAAGCAAGCAGTCAGTACAGAGAGATAGAATCCTCATTACATTGAAAAATGCATTCAAATAATGCTTGTTGGTAATGTATTAGTGACCCCCCACAGACGGAGGGTTTTACTGCTTTCATGGGAGCTCAGACCCCTTCTTATGGGAGCTCCACTCCCACTGGCTCCCACAGAACTCCAACCCTGGTTCACACTGCAGACACAAGTGGCCCAAATCTGATTGATTGGATCATTAATGGGACTCAGATCTGATTGTTTTAGAACAGTGTGAACAGCACCAATCACACTGAATCTGATCTTTTACATTCTGATTTGGGCCACTTTCATTCAACAGTCATATTCAAATTCATGTGACTTTTACGTCACTCTAGATCCACGTTGGTCACGCGGTTCACTTCAGGACCGGGACCTGTTCACACTGGAATCTGATATGGGCCACATCTTAAACATAATGTGAACAGCCAAACAAAACAAAGAATGTGATGTGAGCAATGAATCAGAATTGAGCACTAAGGCTTGCAGTGTGAACGTAGCTGTCCCAAATCAGAGTTTAAAAGATCACATTCATGTGATTGAGTCACATATGAGCAAAACTATCTGATTGGGCCACTTTTACCTGCAGTGTGAACACAGCAGATTGTCTCCAAAGGAAGGAGAGCATTCTCATTATTTGATCTTTAAAACTACAGCTTTGTTATGTTTTATCATTTGAATGGATCAATCACTCTACAATCCATACTAATTCAATTCTGATCAAATATTTCACATTGACCAAATCAGCCCCGAATGAGACGAGAGGTGAACTGTTCCAACAATAATGAGACAAACATGAGGCCTGTCCAAACCTTTCCCTGAGATTCATACAGTACTTTTTATTGCACTCAACTAATATAAAAACTCTTCTGAAATATGAAACACAGGCTTTTTAAAATCAAACACACCTCGTTTCAGAAATTGGATCAGTGAGAAATTTCTGCTCAACATTGTCGTGCTGCTCAGATCTCAAATTCAGGTTTTGGCGACAGGTTTGACTCACTGACTATAACTCAGATTAACAAACATTTAGAGACAGACGGGGACGAGGACTCAAGGACTGGGCTTCACTACAAGTTTGAGCTACTTGTACTTTACTCGAGTATTTTCACTTTATACTACTTTATACTTCTACACTACATTTCAGAGGGAAATATTGAACTCTTTACATTTATCAGACTGATGTAGTAATTTAATTTGATCTAACATACAAACACATGATCAACATATAAAATATAATACTTTTTTATTATACTTTTGCTTCTTTTAAGTACATTTTGCTGATACTCATCTCAGACTCAAATCCTCTGTAAAGCTTTAGTAGGTGTTGCTCTGTTTCTGTCTGTCTAGATGTATTCAGGAATGTTTAATATGGATTCATTCAGAAGCTGTGGCTCAATGAAATGACCAACACCCTTCACCTTGACAAAATAAGGTTCTCTCTGAAGAACAGACAGTCACAGTTTGATCACATCTGGCTGCCCTTTGTCTGCTACCTGAGAAACAACCAATAATGTACACTCCCTGTGTACTTTACTGGCCAATACAATTTCCATCGCTTGTTCTTTTACTATCTTTCCACTGCAACCTTTATTGTTGTACAGTGCTTCCTGAGCAGAAGGGAGGGAGGGAGGGAGGGAGGGTGAGTTCAGAGTATATGTTGTTCAGTTAAGTGATGTTGATACTATCTGTTGTATTAGCTTTGCTTCTCTTCAATGAAAATGTACACTGCACTCTCATGTCCTACATTTTGGAATCCTTCCTCAATAAAACAGACTTGACAAAAACAATGTGGATTCATTCAGAGAGAAATCTGCTGCCTAACTTCTCCTTTCAGCAATATCTGATTATTGTGTCAAATATAAAGGAACTGTCCTTAAAGTAGTAAAGTAATGTATATTTAGTCAGAGTGAGTTCAAAGCTGTGATGATGTTTGATGGTTCATGTTGTCATTGTCACTCAGAGTCAGATTATTTTCTATGAGCTCTTCTACTCACTCAGCAGCTCATATATTGTGTTCATGTAGCAAAACTAGTTTTATCACTTGGTTCAATCAGTTCAACCACAGTCACACCTAGTAGTTAGTATGAGCTCATATTTACACCAACAGGCTCAACTGTAACAATCAGTGTGTGTGCTGGAACTCATTGTAGTTTGGTGCTGCACTAATCTTTGTTCAATAATCACATATATGTACATTGAAGTTGTCCAGGTGTGAACTCACAAACAGCCGGTGCAAGAGATTTCAAACAGGCAGTACAGGCAGCCTGTGGAGCTGCACTACAGGCCTCGTTTTGTGCACGCTGCCATCTCAACTGGAAAGTAGCCACAAACTATAGAGAAAGGAGGCTCAGAGTTGGGGCTGACCTTCAGTCTGTGCACGCCAGTGAACAAGTGGCAGTGACAAGAGCTGGGAATCACAAGAGGGTTTTTATGTCACTGAAAAATAGCTTTAGTGTTGGAACATCCATTCAGTGACACATCTGAAGAGCGAGTATTTCATCTCATCAGCCTCTCGTTATCAAAAAGCTTGTTGGTAAAAATGTAATGTGACTGTTGATTTGCAACCTGCAAACCTCCAAAAGGCAGCAGAAGTTCTGCTTCAGGAGACAGAGCTCAAATGTTTCAGTACTAAAAGTTTCATGCTGCACTTCTCAATGAGCACAGTTTCTCTGAAACACAACAACAACATGAACACAACAGGGTGGGAAATATAATAATTGTGTAAATAGTTGTTCTTCCTCCACTGACTGCTGTCCAGTGAAGTCCACATTAAAATCATTATGTGCTTCTTGGTGGTGGGTCGGCTCTGTGTGTGTGTGTGTGTGTGTGTGTGTGTGTGTGTGTGTGTGTGTGTGTGTGTGTGTCTGTGTGTGTCTGTTCTTTCTGTTATTTCTCTCCAGACCCTCTCATTCTTCCTCTTACTGTGTACATTCATGAAGTGGGGTCTCAGTCTCAGAATAAGAGTGAATTTAAAAGCCAGTTTAAAAAATGTTCAACTTGTGTAGACGTCTTAATCACGATTTCCTTTGCTCAATCTGAATAAATGTGAAAGACAAAATAGATTTGAATATGAAACTAGGACTAGGGAGAATCTCACCATTAAGAGGTACATATGTGTCAGCAGAAATCTGATGGTTGATTTCCTTCTGTGTGACTACACAGGTGAAGGTGTCGGCCTTGGTCAAAGGAGCTTCGTAGGATGACATCGTAGCTTCCTCCTCTTTCTGTGACCTGTGGTTCTTTAGCAGGAAGGATGTTTCCAGCACTGTCCTTCAACTCTACTTTAGGTTTTGGAGAAGCACCTTCAACCTCACACTGCAGGAGCACCCCATCATTTGTTTGATACGTGTCTTGATAAACGGCTCTGGAGCTGCACCTGTGAACATAATAGAAACAATACAAGATAGTGTACATGATTTGACATATAATAAGATATAAGTTCATCCTTCTCTGTTAAAAAAGAGTTTAATATGCACCTTACATACCTAAGGATTATCATTTGGTTCATATTTCAAACTTTTATTTTTACCAAAACTACAATTTACAACGCAAACACTTTATTCTGACCCACATCATGACAGAAGTACATACCAATATTTTGACTACTCATTTAAACATCCCATTTATTCTACACTTGTTAAGCTGAAAATTATCCTGAAATGATATTGCATAAATGTGTTGTCTGATATGCTAAACAATGTTTTATATTACACTAAAGGAATATTAAAATGTGTTATGAAATGTGAAATACAAATTGTTATCTTCTGAAGTTTGTAGGATTGAGCTGCCAGTTATATTAAGGTTGCTTTCTTCCTGTTTATTTTAGTTATAAAAGCTAAATTTCTGTAATTTGGTTTCTTTTGGTTGAGTTAGGTTATATATTAACATATTACAGTATACTGTTCGTTCCCGGCCAAAGTTTTAGTTGCATCAGAAAAATGAGATTAATAAAATAAATGGGTGGTACAACTCCACTGTTGAAAACAGGTAATAATTTGACTCTCTGCTAGATTATGTTACAAAGTTAATATCAGAGGCTGAAAATGAGAATCCAAATGTTACATAAAGTCCAGGGTAAACCTTAAAGTCCAGTCTCTACAGATGATAAATAAATAAATGATGCTAATAATAACACATGAATGTCGTAAATGGTCCAAAGTCATACTGAAAACTCAGCATGTAGAACACTACTGCCACACTCCAGGACTCACCTTTGACCCCAGGGTATCTGTTTCTTAAGATAGGATCTGAAAGACAAAATAAAACAGAATTATGTTAAAGTGTTTGTCTGACATTGTCAACATGGAACACAGATAATACTGGAAAACATTAAACTTGTTATCCTGATTATTAAACTGATTAAACACATAAAAAGAAGCTAGAGTTTTAGATTTAAAAACGAATCTTCTTAATCTGACAGAACATTCACAGATGAGACTGGTTTTATGTCCTGGAAGAGAAAACACATCTAACAGCACCGTGTGAAGCAGCTGCCTCCAGAAGAGATTTCATCTGATCAAACATGGTCAATAAATGTGGCACATCACAGATCTGCTCATTGTAAACCTCTGACTGCTGCTGGACCAGAAATCTGTCTTTATTACAGCTAACACTGCTGGTTGTGGATCCTCTGTCTCACAAAACTGATGATCATCAACTTCCTTTGTTAATCCAGAACTTCAAATCCAAACCAGCTGTGAGTGCTCTCATAAGGAACATCCTTTATAACAACCCACATGCAGGGCTTTCCTTAAAGAAACTGTTTGACATTTTGGGATATAAAATGCTTATTTGCATTCTGGTGAAGAGTTAGATGGTAAAATTATTATCACTTTATTATCTGTACATTAAATATAAAGCTACAGCCAACAGCTGGTTATCTCAGCACAAAGACTGGAAACAGGGGAAACAGTCTGTGTCTGCTGAACAGTGAAATAATCCACCTACCAGCTCCTCTAAGGTTCACTAACTAACATGTTGTTTAATCTGTATAAAACCTTAAGTGTAAAAGCAACAAGTTAATGTTTAATAGGGCTTATGAACCGGACTATTTCTGCCGTCCTTTACCTTGCTCAGAATGAACTTTACAAACAGCAATATGACTCAATGAAAGGGAAACATATAGAACTTCAGCAGTATGGAGGGAACTCTCTTCCTGGTGTTTATCCAACAGTTTATCTGTTTGTTTGTTTCACAGGGACAGCACACTATGAAACATAAACAGATAGAGAGGAAACAGAAATGCCACAGATTGAATGTGTATGCAGCTTCTACACAAAGCTACAGCAGCCTCCGTCCTCAGGACAGGGCCTCGTCCAGATGTGTTACTCTGACTGTCTGATGGCAGCTGGAGCTCATGTGGCACACTTGAACCAGTCTCTGTGTCTGTGAATGAGCAGCATCTTTACAGCTGTTTGATGGAAGCACTCACCAATAAGAAGCTCAATGCGGGATCGTCTTTGTGGCTGATGTCGAGGAAAATCACAGGTGTAGGTTCCACTGTCAGACACCTGTGTGTTTCTGATAACTATGGAGGCATTACCCGACTGCACAGCTTCTGGAAAATGAAAGACCCGTCCTTTGAACTGTGGGTCTTGACCTGGACGGCCATTATTGTATTCATCACGCTTATCATACAGGAACACCTCCTGACGATCTCTCTTCCAGTCAAAGAGCTCTTCCTTAATGCTGGAAGTGCTGAGGGAACAGGGTAAAATGGCATCACTCGTTTCCATCACCACCAGTTTGATGACAGGTGGACCTGGAAGACAATAATAATAATAATAATAATAATAATAATAATAATAATAATAATAAATAATCACATTTTGTTAGCCTAAACACGCTCCAAAACTCATGAAACTTGACACACGTCAGTGGTGGTGAACACATTTCATATGGGGCTCGTCCATGGGCATGGCCACATGGCTCAATAACGTGACCTAAAGAGCAGCCTCAGCAGGGGCATGTTTCACTACTAGTTATGATCCAGAAAATCAAGTTACCCTCAGTATTTTATTGATAATGATAAGACCATAAATAATATGGAGTATGTGGTTAACAGCTTCAACAAGTGTTTGAAATTGTGAGAATGAGTGAGAGTAAAAACAGCTTCAGAGAAATGGATTTCTAATGCCACCTTTAGATATTTCTATTTCCTAAGAAAATATTTCTGTATGTGATTGTGATTAAATGATGTTTCTGCAACCCCTTAAAGGACCAGTGTGAGGTATTTAGTGACATCTAGTGGCGAAGTAGCAGACTGCAACTAACTGAACACTGCTGCCATCTGTATAGGACAACCTGGGTTAGGAGAAAGTATGGTGGCTAATTTTGACTTTTAATAGTGTTTCTTTGCAACATTTAATCTTTTCTTTTTTTCAAGTGATGACTTCCACAATAACTCTGTAATTAATTAGACTTTCTGCTCTCTCAACACACAAATAAGAAGAAAGAGGAAACAAGAGAGAGCGACGAGGAAAACACAGAACTAAAAGTGAAACTTAATTCTGTTCATAGTGATTTCTTTGTCTAGTTGGTAAAAAGACAATAAAAACTACACAACTTGTGGATTTTATGATCAACTGAACAGTTAAACTGTAGAAATATAACTGTGTCCACATCTAAGAAAGCAAAATAATAAATAATTCAAGTAATACGATTTTATAACTGATAGTTTCACCAATTGCCTAACTTCCAATATTAGAAATATATATTATATATATTTTAAAATATCTGTATGTATCAGTAAAGGTTTCTCGGAAATAGTGAAACTCATCAACAGGATGGAGACGACGCCCACGCACACACAGACACACACACACACACACACACACACACACACACACACACACACCTGCAGTAGCAATGACGCCACATCTAAGGCATAAACCAGCTCGTGGTGGTATAGCAGCTCCTAACATACTGAATAGATCCATCATACGGCTGTAATTGATCACATTGATGCTGTAATCAATTCAATCAATACTATCGATTATCAGGATGCATTTTACATCACGTTAGCAGTTGCAGGTGTTTGCAGCCTCATTCATTTCCTGTTTCAGACAGCTTCAGAAATAAAAGAAGAGTGATGAGTTTTCTTACTGTGATCAGCAGCCGTTCCTGCAGACCAGGTCAGCAGACAGAGACACACGAGAGGATCCATAGTCTTCCTCTGAGGATGAAACATCAGCTCACTGATCAGCTCTCTTTAGAACGGAACCTCAGACACTCCTCACTGCGGGATTGGCCCCATCACAAACACTTTCTATTCCTCAGCTTCTGCAGACTGCAACGACAACACGTCCGGCACCAATCCTTCACAATAAAAGCGCAATCTCCGTCCATATTACTGTAACTATGACTCATGAATTCTGCAGAAGAACTGCTCAACTTGTCACCTGAGCAGTAATTTATCTTCATGAACAATAAAGACCTGTGTGAAAAAACAATTCAGCCATATATTGACTGCAGTTTTACCTTTACTATTATTACAGTATAGTATAGTATAGTATATTATATTATAGTATAGTTAAGTATAGTTAAGTATAGTATATTATATTATAGTATATTATAGTATAGTAAAGTATAGTATATTATATTATAGTATATTATAGTAAAGTATAGTATAGTATATTATAGTATATTAGAGTATAGTAAAGTATAGTATATTATAGTATAGTATATTATATTATAGTATAGTAAAGCAAACTATAGTATTTTATAGTATAGTAAAGTATAGTATATAGTGTAGTACCTTATACTGTTTATTGACCCTTTCAGGTTCATAAAGACAATTTTCATCAAAAACACTGAATTGTTTTGGTGTTACAATAAAATATCAATACTAAACTGGCAACATAAATTAACATAAACAAATACTTTTAATACTACTACTAATAATAGTAATACCTTTATTTATATAGCACCTTTTAAAAGCAGAGTTCATAAAACAGATAAATCAATAACAGGTTACTAAGAAGGTTTTATAACAACAGAGAGACAGAGATAAAGAACTAGATGAAACATATGGTAGAGGGAAATGATTAAAGATAAGTACAGTGAAAGTGATAGCTGTGATACACAAAATGTAAATAAATATGAAAAAATACAAAAATGAGAGCAGAATAAAAGAAATAAAGAAATAAAACAGATATATTTAAGTGAAAAGATGACATCACATAAAGGAACGTCTATAAAATGGCTTTTAAAACGTGATTTAAAAGAAGTCACTGTTAAGTCTTTAAGATTCCACAGAAAATAGGACCTGAATGCAACACAGGCAGAGGCAGGACACAGGTATTCAGAACCAATCTTTACTTCCCAGGAAAAGGTTATGGTACACAGAGATCCAGGAAAAACATCAAATACATCCAAACTGGCACAGACAGAGGCAGCCTGGTGAAACAACAGGCAGTAAGCCACAAACCAAGGTAACAAACGGTAAACAGATCAGATGCAAGTGGCAGGGGAGCTGAACGGAGGAGAAGACCTCAAGGGGACAACCTGGGGTCAAGGTGAAGAGCAGAGCAGTTGAGGACGAGGCCCTGGAGGCTGACGATGTAGGGGGAGCAGCATGCTGGATTCTACAAAATAAAACAGGAAGTAACACAGGAAACACTAGAGTTTCTGACAGACCACGAAACGAAACCTTTTCAGTGCAGTTTCTCAGAAAGGAAATGATGAAATTGATACTTTTCAAAGAAGAGCTTTGCTTTTATTCTGGAGAAACGCTGATGAGCAGAGAAAGGTTGATTGTTAAAGTCTCACCACAGTATTTCATCAGAAATATCAACAGCCAAAGTTATTAAATCAGTTGTGTTTCAACTATCAATAACCTTTATTAGATTTATGGAGTAAGGTTTCTCTGATACTAAGCACTGAACTATTTAAATTCTTTTTTGTTCTGTTTATTTTATTTTGATAAGTTATATATTTGTCTTTTCTAGTGCTGATATTTGATTACAGTTTTTGTGCAACACCTGGATAAAGTTTATCTTGTTGAAGAGAACAGAGTTCAGAAATCCCACACTCTCCCACCCACACCTGCAGCTGTAATGATGCCAAATCAAAGAAAGAAAGGAAGGACAGCATAAAAGTACTTTTACTGTTTACATTTCCAAAGAAGTTGTCTGAGGTCTGAGTCATAGACAGAGTCAGTCGCTACCACCGGCTGCCAACTCTGGCCTTTATATATTTTAGGCCTTGTTACCTGTATTAGTTAGTTGTATTAGTCAAGGTAGAAAGAGAGAGAGAATGACTCCTTCATGGGGCTCTAGCTCTACCAGGTGAGCTGCCATTTAACTCTTGTGTGTAAAAAATGTCTCTATTGCTGCAGCTCCACTTCAGAAGTCACTCCTGCCAATGTAATTACCAGAAAGAATTGTATTGACTGTTTCATAAATAGATCAGTTTTAGTGAAGGACCAAACCTGTTGTCTTCAAGTGGCTGAGATACCTGCAGCTGAATGAGAACGGGCTGTGAAGTGTATAGGAGTATTAGTGTACAGGGTAATTACATGGTTCAGCCAGTATGTTAAATTGGCTTCAATGGTCCTTTGGTCCTTAGGACGACCTGCCTTGTGTCCGAAGAGCAGAGCTGTTCAGGACGAGGCCCCGGAGGCTGCTGGTGTTCATGGAGCAGCTCTGGAAGACAACTTGGGGGCAGGAACCAAGGGTGAAGCAGTTGTGTATTTTATTTTGATAAGCTATATATTTCTATTTTCTAGTGCTGATATTTATTTACTGTTCTTGTGCAACACCTGGAGAAGTTGTAACAAAAGAATGTTCCACCTCAGGATCAACAAGTCTATCTTGTTGAAGAAAAAAAGAGTTGTTTCTGTGCCAGTTCAGAAATCCCACACACACCCACACAGGCACACACCTGCAGTCGTAATGACGCCCAATCAAAAGAGAGGAAGGAAAAAAATAGTTTTATGGTTTACATTTCCAAAGAAGTTGTTTGAGGTCTGATATAATGGGTGGGTACCGCCAGCTGCCAAGTCTCATCACCTTACACAGCACCAACCAACACTCTTCCTGGGGGCTTGGTCCCTATCTACAGCCAGTGTTTGGTTTTCCTTTCTGTGGTTTCTTTAGCCGACTCCTCTGGGTCTCAAACTACGGTAGGTGCCAGTTCACAGAGGAATCCCTGAAAAAATGAAATAAATGAAAGTAAGAACTTATTATACTACAGGACATTACTTTACTGTATTTTGTAAGTACTTCATTTCCTGTTATATTTAGTTTCAATATCGACTTGCTCTGCAACCTCACTACGTAGTGATGGCAAGATAGTAAGTGGAGGTAAAATGAATGGTTCAAAAACACTGCAAACATGGATTGAAATGGGAACTATCAGGAAGAGAAGTGTAGACCAGGAGGACTCCTTTCCCATCATATTAGCTCTGGTTCTTGAGCCAGTTACAGTCAGGATTAACAACAGTCAACAATAAATAATCTTATGAGGAATAAACCTGCCTCCTGCATGAACTGTCTATAGCTGAATAGGTTCAGCCTACACTACTGTATTTTAACGTCAGTCATAATAGTGGAGCTTGGAGAGCATGGTATTGCTGTAAAGAGTGTGAGAAACACTAATCCATAAATCACTTATACAATCCATGCTGTGTTGCAACATTCATGTTTGATTTGGAGGAAAAGAGGCTCTTCCTGTGAAGCATTAGAGTTGGTAAGTCTTGTCTCAGCACGATAAGTGCACATCCTCCCACCCACGCACAGTAACAATGAATCCATATCTAAATAATCCCCTCCAGTTACAACAGCTCCCTAATCCTCCAAAACACTGAGGAGGTATAATTAGTCAATATGAAGGAACATGCTTCATCAACAGGTGTTACCTTTGGCACCTTTAACTTCTTAGTGGGAAATGGCAACCTTATGGAAGTTGGCAGGTGAGGAAGGTCACAAGTTCAATTCCACCAAGGTGTGCCCTTCCTCTTCTTATGTTCACTCCCCATTGCTCAAACCACTCTGCAGGAACAAAGTCCACTGAACATGTCACTGCTCTTCAATTACACCGGCTCCCTATATCACAGTGGATCACCTTTATAATCCTACCATTACCCTTTAAGTCACTTCATAACCTTTCCCCTGCTTATCTCACAGACCTCCTTTACACTTACTCTTCCTCTCATTCCCTACGCTCTTCATCAGCAGGTCAACTGGCACTGCCATCCATCTACCTCAGTACAATGGGTGACAGGACTTTCTCCTACGCTGCACCCACAGCACTGTTTAAGATGGTGTAAGGTGACCTTGAGTGCCAAAAAATCCACCACTAAATAAAATGTATTATTATTATTATCATTATTATTAAATGGTGATTGTGTCCCAGAGCTGCCTCTAGTGGAACGCGGAGGAATCTCTTTTGAATTAAATAATTAAAAAACATATAATACTGTCAAAATACTATCTACTAACTAACATTTCAAATGAAAATACTATGAGATTGCTGAAATGTCGTTTAAAGTAAGTTTTGCATTTCCTGTAATATTTTGGTGTCTCAACTTCCTGTGTGAAACGGGTTGAAATGACTTACTGGTTACATCTAAACAGGCATCAGATCCCTAGAAACAGCATGTGAAGGATTTCACAGAAGTTATTTGAATGCAACTTACTCAACCTATAGTTTATATTTATATAATAAACTCAGGAAGCCTACTGTATTTCTCAGCATTATTCTTTGTGAGAAACTTTTTTTCTTTAGATTATTATTTAAGATGTAAACTTTGAGCTGATCACAAGCTGCAAATAAAGAGATCAGTCCCTTCCAGTGTGCACAACAGGACATAAAGTGCCCTCCAGTGGCCTAACCCTAACTAAGCTCTTTCACTTTAAATGCAACATGAATTTCCAAGCACTGGTGCCTCACTACCAATTCAATTTTATTTGTATAGCGCCAATTCATAACAGAAGTAATCTCAGGACACTTTTGAAATAGAGCAGGTCTAGACCGAACTCCTTATAACATTATTTACAGAGACCAAGAGAGCAAGGAAAAACTGCCTTTTTAAGAGGCCGAAACCTCAGACAGACACCGGCTCTAGGTCGGTGGTTGTCTGCCTTGACCAGTGGGGGTGAGAGAGAGAGAGGAAGAGAGGAGCTCAGTGCACCATGGGAAATCCCCCAATAGTCTAGGCCTATAGCAGCTTAACTAAGGGATGGTTCAGGACTCACCGGATCCAACCCTAACTATAAGCTTTATCAAAGAGGAATGTCTTAAGCCTACTCTTGAATGTGGAGAGGGTGTCTGCCTCCCGAACCACAACT